GTATATAAAACTGTGTCCCGGATCTTGCACGTTTACATGAACATGAAAACTTACTTTATTCGGACTCTACATCAACTTAAGGACAACAGACCAGTATATAAAACTGTGTCCCGGATCTTGCACGTTTACATGAACATGAAAACTTACTTTATTCGGACTCTACATCAACTTAAGGACACAGACCAATATATAAAAAATACCGTGTAACATTGTGGATCATGACAGAGCGTAAATGTTTTAACAGTAAAGCAATGATTGCCTGATAAAATATAATCTTGCTGTCAAATGGAACGTGTTTTCATTGGAAATTCCACAATAATTATTAGTAATTTGATTGAAGTTTCTTGAGATATTGTTGCTTTAGTATTTGCACTTTGTACCCACTTGACTTACAAATAGTATGAAGTTTTGAGATAGTTATTTGTGGGATAATATATTTATTTCTCTAACAGTGAAATGTTGTACGTAATCATGTTTCACTATTAGAGATGAAACCAGAAATACATTTACTATCCCACAAATAGCTGTATCAAAACTTCATACTATTCGTAAGTTAAGTGGGTACGTCTGAAAATGCAAATTGTGTTTTTGTGTGTGTGTATGAGGGGAGAAGGGTGTTGCTATACGGCTTGTTACATTGTACCGTCCCATCAAACATGCTCGCCCTTTCAGCCGTGGGGGGCGTTATAATGTGACGGTCAATCCCACTATTCGTTGGTAAAAGAGTAGCCCAAGAGATGGCGATGGGTGGTGATGACTAGCTGCCTTCCCTCTAGTCTTACACTGCTAAATTAGGGACGGCTAGCGCTGATATCCCTCGTGTAGCTTTGCGCGAAATTCAAAACAAACAAACAATTGTTACATTGTAATGTTGTTTATGTAAAGCATTACCTTTTTGATGTTTGTAAACCCTTAAGTCGTCTTGTATGAAGGTGTATTCCAAGTGAACAGATAATAACAATTTAGTCGCTATGTGCAAGTCAAAAGAATATGTTTTTATATAATATAAAAAGGTCCACATTAAAATCGGTCCAGTGTTTAAAACTGGGCAAGAAGGTAGCAGTAAAGAGAGAAATTGAATAAGCGTATAGAGACGCAACAAAATTTGAAAGCCCGTGTTAATACATCATGTTTCACTGACCGTTGTGCCATAAGATTTTGATTTTGAATGTTTGCTTTAGAAAATGGAAAATTTATTTCTAATTTTAAAGTTAAAAGTGTATGTTTTATTAACAATTTTCAGCTTGAACGTTACTTATATCTATGTCCAAGTACACTATGTAAATGCTGCCTACTTTACTCGCCTCTAGTATGTATTTCCTATATATAAAATAATTTAAAAACGGTATAAGTTCTATTGTGGAACGTTCTAAATATGGTTAAGATCAGCCTGAGGTGTTACTTTCTTGTAGCTTGACCAGTCAAAGAAGGTATCTACTGTTTCAAAGGATAGTTAAATTGTGTCCTACTTGTTTTTATAGGGATACGTATGAGAGTTACATGAAGCAGAGATATTTACTTAGTCCGCTGCATTTTTCTTATTGGTCATCTATAGAGAGTATGTGTATTCAACCTGTTGAATGTGTTTGGTTTGTTTCTCTTTGTCTTCAACACAATCTTCACCTTAATTATTCATCTAAATACAATTTATTTTGTTCTATTTAAATTCAACTTCCACCATACAGTGTAATAGTCCTATTACTAGTCCAGTCGGTCATATTCCTATTCCGACACTCCTACAGTGAAATATTGTTCTTTTTTTCGTTTTGAATTTAACACTTGTCTTTGATTTCACGTGAAACAATTCACTACACAAGTTTTCTACATGTTTTAAATTCACGAATATCACTTCTATTTCTGTAGAGATCGAGTGAGTCTGAGTTTATTCTTGAATTATCACACAAGGAATGTAAATTATGTAATGAAAACTTTTTTTTTTCTGGATGAGTTATGGTGGATCAATAAATCTGATAGTTTAAACTCAAAAGAAATCAGTAAAATAAATATTGTAGATACATTTAAGCGCGCGCAATTAACATGTTAAGTTTTGTTATACTGTCTCGCTTACAAAAGTTTGTTATGAATACAAATTCACGTTCAAATAAATACAAATTAGAATCACGTGCGCTAAAGTTGCTACCCATAGGTGTTCCTTGTTTTTGTTGTCGTAGTATTTACAGGGAAACTGGACTGAACAGGTGTATTAAAATATAGTAAAACAGGAGGTTCGGATAATTTGGAAATAATCTGTGTAAGTCAGTCTCGACCAAAAGAATATGAGAAGGGACATAGATGTTACATTTAGAAACAAATATATCTGACTAAACAATTCGCAGTGTAGTCTGTAGGTTATTACAATCTGGGATTTCTACGTGGTCAAAGCCCATTACTTCGACTTCTTTTAAAATTATTTGTGGACGGTAACTCGGACTCCTTTACAGAAATGTGACTTCTCATAGATCATGAGTGTGGCTTATTGTCAGCGGGTCCGAACTATGAATCCAAGGATTCATGATTCGCGTCCTGTTACCACAAAACCACGCTCCGCACTTCATGGCTGTGCTAATAGAGTGACTGTTAAAATTCCACCATTTGGTTAAAGAATAGTTTTCAAAGAGTTGACGGTAGGTGCTTTCGGTTATTTGTCTTCGCTTGAGTCTTTCAGTTTAATATTAGGAACGGTATTGTGTAGATGGTCCTTTGTGTAGCTCTCTGCACGAAAATCTAAAAAACACAGATAATGGAATAAAGTAAGTAGAAAAACCAACTTTCCTTGGGATTATATACAGTATAAAGTTTTATATGCTGTGATTATCAGATAGAGAAACTAGAGCTTCTTACCTCTCTATTTTTTCACACAGAACTCATGCGCCAGATAACCTGCTGAGATAAGCTTAAATGTTTATCTAGCAACCAGGCCAGGTGTGAAGGATAGACAAGTCATGGGTTTAACCATCCACTGTGCAGAACTCTTCCAAAGGGCAAGTTTAGCAAGCTGGGCACATTTTGTCTGCCTAGAACTTACAGCTATGTATAGAAACATTTCCAACATTTTAAAACAATGGCAATAATAAAGATATATTAATGTAATAAGTCATAGAGTAATTTGACTTATTATGTCTACATATCACATATCTTCCTCTTTTCACGTCAGACTATTTTGTTCATTCTTAAAGCCACGGTATTGCTCATTTGAGGCATTATGGGATATGTTTGGCAATTAATCTCTTGCGGTTTTAAGTATTTTGGGGGTTAGTGTCTGTTACATAGGTAAGAGTCGAGTACTGGAGAATGGGGTCGTTAATACAGTTCTTAATTGTTTAATCTTTTTAGTAGACTTGTACTTATGGCTTTATGTCCTGAAAACACTAAACACTAGACACTATCACATTTATACGATGTGATTCATAACATGCAAATTAAAAGCTACGTAACATAGATAACACTACACACTACATGAAAGTACTTATACAAAGCTTACCCTTGTAGTCTTTTTTTTACATAAAATATTCTAAAAACATACTGAACTTTATTTCTAAATTTTACAGTTTAATTTTCAAGAAAATAACTTTAAATTTACACAGTACTTCTTAACCTTCACATCTTACCAATCTTCGTGAAAAGTGTTGAATTTCAAGCTTATAAACACCTAATAAAAAGAACATAATTTGTTCATTTGTTGAATTTCGCGCAAAGCTAAACGAGGATTATCTGCACTAACAGTCCATAATTTTGAACTGAATAGAAGGAAAGCAGCTGTTAGTAAACACCGTTAACTCTTGGGATGTCAGGCCGATTGTGGAATTTGTCGATTATTCATATAATACATCAACGGCCTCAAAGTGGCGGAGGTTTTTTTTATTTGGCGGTAATGGGACACGAACCATGGAACGTCAGATCCATGTTAACCAATGTGCAGCACGTGTAATGAACAATTTAATTGTCATTCATAGAAGAAGGTGCCTCACTCAGTAAGTAATTCATCAATCTACCATTGAGAAGAAAGACATAATAAGATGAACTTGAGCATTACGTACTTGATACACATATTTATATATATATATATAGAAACTCTAATACTAGTTTAATAAACAAAAATACTCAAATTAATTCTGTGTACACAGAATGAAAGATAACACTACTCTATCTGAACCGGGGGAGGGAGTTCTAAATAACACTGAGAGAACTAACCATCATATAATTTTTACAAAAATCAATTCTCCCAAAATGCACTGGGGCATCGCATAAGCAAAAAATAGTGAGAACACATTCTCCAGGTATTCTTAAACCTCTGTACGATCAATGTTACCAAGCAAACACATCGGTACAAAATCACATCTTCAATGTAAAACATTATTTAATGTCGCATACAGATACCTTTAAGGTAACGTAATATAAATCATATTTTAAGACAAATGGATTGTGTGCTGTACGTTTATTGTTCGAATGTATCGCCAACAAGTCACAGACACCTACTGTAAAATAATCAAACCACACTCATATTTAAAACACTGACAATGACTGTTTCATTTACGTTTAATACAAGAATTATGATTTAGATAGCTATAAAGCACGAGTGTACAATTTAATATTTTTAGAACGATAATTTATCGCAGGTTTGCTTATGTAACTGTTTATGAATCATTTTTTGCCTAGTTCAGTTGTTGTGAATCGACGTCATGTTACTCGAACCTTCTGAATTTTTCTCGTTGCTTTAAGTGAGTATTGTTATATCCTAACGTCTCGTAGTTTGTAGAAAGTTCTAGGCTTCAGTCGGGCAATATATATATATATATATATATATATATATATATATATACAGGCGACCAAGTTAGTGCAAGTAAGTAGGCTAGTGAAAGTGAAACTGAGACAAAATTAGTGAGAAATATAGTCAACTAGATCTAGACTGTGTTTATAAGTTTAGCCACAAAGAGAGTATAGTGGAGACTTTTAAAGTGTAATGATCGCAGATTGTATTGTAATAACAGAGTAGAGAATAATAATTCATCTTGTCAGTTAGGTTCTAAGATAACTGAACCAGCCTGTGTGGACTTTGACGAAAATAAACGTTTATTTAAAGCTATGGATATAACTGTGGTGATTAACTGTGTAAAAACATTTGTATATACGTTTGACTTGTTTTGAAAATATTATTTTAAAACAAGTAGATTGTGTGCTGTGCGTTTATTGTTGAAATTTATCGCCAACAAGTTACAGACACCTACTATAAATGGTCCTGCCCACACATACGTAAAAACGTGACAAGGTAGAAGCTGTATGTAAGATTGTAAAGAGGGTAAGTGAAATTGGAACTTTTAATAATAGCAGTGGTCTGTGTGGAAAACCATATTTCTCCGGAAATGTTGTTATGTATCTTAAGGTATTTTCGATTACGAGGAACCCACTTTGAGACTAATAATGGTTGGAGACTGATGATGGCAAAACCTTGTCTAAACGTTGTACATTTGCTGTTATGTTAAACTTATATTAAAGTTTTCTTCATTACCCATTCAAGCCGTCTCCAACCATTATTATCTTAAGGTATGTTCTTTACGAGACAGACAAAGGTCAAGTTCAGATTTTGTCAACGACTTTGCTATAAATACAGACAAACAGAAAGAAACATTAATACGAAATAGTCTCAATAGACGAGTAGCTGCTCAAAAAACCATTACTGAGAAGAGTTATTGAAACCAAACGTTGAAATAGCCATTGGGCCACAAAGCAAATTATGAGCATAGCTGAAGACATGTGCTCTTTATAGATAAATCCAGTTACGAATTGTTTGGCAACAGTCAACGCCATGGCACAGAGGAAAATGGTATCATAAGTAAAAAAATAATACCTACAATGAAGCATATTGGGGTCATACAAGTTTGAGTTTGCATCTCAGCCAACAGCATAAGTGCTCTACAGAAAATTGATGGCGTCTTTGCTGCTGCAGAGTACTGGCTAATTCTAATTAATCATTGTAGAGGAAAGAGGGGCAACTACCGCCGAAAGATTACAAGAATCTTACAATATAATTTCAGTTTTATGCTTTTACTGTGTGTACTTCATGTAAAGCTACAGTACAATATAATGCCAGATCACCTATTATTGTCCCCCCCTCAATAAAAAATCAAATGCATCATATAGTTTCGTCAGAAACACGATTCATTTGGCAGGCATCCATCAGCAGCAGCAGAATGATCTCAACCAGATAGAAAATGTAGTGTAACAATATACTGGAGGTAAAGAAACCGACGTAACACTCACAACCATAGCTTGACCTGAACGTTCCTGAGCCTGTATGGGTTTATGTATACTGAAATTATCTTTCTAACATTACTTCATTCAATACCATAGCTTTTGTAGTTGCGTCAGAGTAATGGACAGTTGTTTTCATCCATTATCATTAAGTATGAGGTAACAAAAACTCACCTAACGTTTTCGTGTCGTTGAATATATATCTTGTGAAACTGTCGTTGTCGTGGTGAAATTATATCTTCCTTCATCTCCATAGCAACATGTTGTGGTAAAACACTTAAAAGTAACCGTTCCTGAAAATTATCATAACAAATTTAGTTGATAACCTCTTTTAATTCTTCTGGTGTGACCTTCGACATAATCTTCATATTTAAGAATATTTTAACTTTTCGGACACACAATGTTATAGTTTTGTATATTTAATTTTATCTATCCACATAATTAATCTTGTCGTAAAAATTTAACTACCAGATGATTAATACGTTTAAATATAATTTTCATTAAAACATTTAAATTCATTATATTCCGAACCATCTACTACTGACCAGTTTTTCGTTCTCATCTTCCATTTCCAGACGGGCATTAATACAGTTGCGGGTATCAAGAAAAGTCTTCCTTTGCGCATGTTCCACCAGACTGTGCACAAAAAGGCCAACGATGTTAGCACAGAGAAAAGATATTCCATTAGCTGCCAACTATGAAAAGAAAAGGGATAATATATAAAAAAAAAAAAGATTTTAAGAGACATGTTTAACAGTGTATATCATATTTAAAACTAAGCATTAGTAAAGGAATTAAATTAGAAATATTTGGGTGTGGTCAATTGCAAGTCACATTAATGATCCCAAGAGTAATAAATAATAATATCTTAAATTGAATAGGCCCGACATGGCCAGGTGGTTAAGGCGCTCGACTCGCAATCTGAGGGTCGCGGGTTCGAATCCCCGTTACACCAAACATGCTCACTCTTTC